GCGAATGAGAAGGGATGATTCTCGGAGAGATTCTGTGCGCACATCCAAAATGACGGGGGCAGGCTCTGGCGTCCCTCGACTTTGAGAAACTCCTCCCCGAGCACGTCCTGACTTCCTGTGCCGACATCCTCGGGCCCCGACTGCACGAGGAGGACAGGAAGAGAGCAAAAGCAGAGCCACCTTGGCGGTCTGAGAGGGCTCGAAAGCGTAGAGCACACGGCAAATCGCAAGAACATCGCTCAGGAGCTATATAGATTACTGAAGCGTTATTGTCACTTGACTTGTATCACGTACTGCAGCGCTGCCCCTGCAGGATTGGCTTATGCGCGTGGGTGCCTGTCATGGCCTGGCTGTCTTTGGTAGACAGGCACGGCCAGGTCACGAAAGAGAACCCAGGCATATGGGTGAGTCCCAGCCAGGCGTCTGGACCCTACCTCGATCCCATCCTTCAGCTTGTGGACGATGAAGAGGACTGATGTGCTACAATGCACGGCAGGTCCGCAATTGCAGAGCGAGAGAGTTTGGCCCAACATTGAGGGCCCAGTGGTGGGAGCTGCAGCCTACGCTGTGAGCCAGCTCATGGACGGCAGAAATGGGCGCTTGTCTCGAACTCAGAGGTTAGTGCGCTGTAGTCAAGATCTGAAATGCAGCCTCCTGTTGCCATTGGGTTTCTGCTTTTCGCGCTTACATCACGCCACGATTGCGCGGTACACAGTATCGTCAAGAAGCGATTGTAAAAGGAGGTTAAATCGATCGTTCCAAATGGCTCGAGGATTCGGCATCTTTCGGGATTGGACATCGATCGAAGAGCTCCATAAGTGTCGGCCCAGCAAGCAGGGCCGCTTGAAAAGCCTTGACGGTGAGCTGGTCTTTCCTAAACCTCGTGCAGAGTCGGCTGAGCAGCTGGAAGCAGCTTAAAAAGAGATCCATCAACGGTTTCTCAACGGTGACTTAATGAGGCCGAAGTTCTCAATGTCCTCAAGTCCGATTTCCAAGTTCACCCATAGATGGCCAACGGCGAAGCAGCCGAAACCCTCCGCTGCTTCGTTTGAAATCTTGTAACAAGCAAGAAATCATCGGATCCGAACAACTACTTTCCAAATTTATTCACAGAGTACTGCGTCCGAGCTGCTCGTTTCTGTTACCTAGCAACGACTTTTTGACGCAAGTGCACAGACCAGCCGTTAGAATTGAATTTTGGATTCAGAAAGGTCACAGTCAGATCTGCGTGTTAGGTAACTAGCTTTCGATTGGAAACTCTCTTGGACAGCATCCATTTGGACAGCCTTCTTGATGCACAGTTTCTGGCTTTTTATCGGCAAATGATGCGCCATCGCAGGTTGACTGTTGAAGATCAGCATCACTTCCGGTTTAACAGCTCGGAATCTGACATTCAACAAATGCACTGTAAGCCCGCAGGGTTACTACAATCGTGATGACTTGGCCGATGTTGTTCATGCCGGCGACACAACACATCATCATACATCCGATCCATTCCGATCCTCATTTGCAGGAATAGCTCTCTACGAGGATGGCTCAGTGTTAAGGACAGAGCATGCCAGTTCTTTGAGAGCCACCGTGAACTAGACTTGCTCAGAATTCTCACGTGCGGCATCAGACGGTCTTCCGCGCGTACCTGTGCACACGATTCCACACGCCACCCCTCGTGTGACTGACTGACTGACTGACTGGTGGACCGACTGATCTTGCAGTACATCGCACGAGTGTTCGACATTTGTATCTAGGAGTGCCGGTCAAGCACGATGCAACTGGATGACGCGGATGCTGACAGACCGAAAGTCTATGGTACTTGTAGTGGTTCGTTCTCGATCTGATCGAGGGCTTGCCGGTCAAAGAATCCACCCGAGAAACACAGCATCCCAGAGCCGCCAAGTGTCATGTTGCACTGTTCGGGTTGGAGCTGCTGGCCAAGGCTCGGCGTGGTGAGGAGGCTGGTCCTTGCATGTGCCGTTCCTGCCAATGCAAGATCTCAATAAGTATAGTCGTAATTGTGCGCAGTTGCTTCTTCGTTGCGTTGCTGAGCCAGGGTAAAATCGCAACCAAGCAGAAGATCTGAACTCGTGACATTGCAAGTGTGCTGGACGCCTTGCCGAACCTGTTGGTGTCTCCGACGCACAACGGAGAAGTCATTCACGAATATAAGAGGCAAGCCTAGTTGGTTTGGCTACAATAATTGGGCCGGGGGGGCATCTGGTGAATGCTGCAAACCACAGGGGCAGCCAAAGCGTTGATGCAGAGCTTAATGTTGAAGAGTATGCTAAAGCCCTCCGACTCGTACCTCATTGATCAAGCTCCCCAACTCAAGTACCCTCCGCTCCACAAGCAATCGTAATCAAAGTGACCCTTTGCAGTATGCGCACGCAGACTGTTGCACTTCAAGCTAGGCCTATCTAGGCCTCCTGCGATGCCGAAATGCCAGTTCTGCGGAGGCTCCAGGCGCGCCTACCCGATGCGGAGAGCGACTCCTGGGTACGGGCAGGTGCTTGTCAGGCGAGAACTGTGAGTCAGAGTGCGGGTGGGGCGAGCGAGAGAAAGTGAGATCAGAGACAAGCTCGTGCTCGAGCCCGACGAAAGTCAATTCTGAGGAGATGGATTGAGGGCAACAAAATGCCCGCAGGGAGAGCCCTGGCTTCACTTCTCAAGCCCCAGAAGGCCTACCACTTGAGTGAACGACTGTGCAACGATCTGTTGGGAGCCACTCTCCGATTGCACCATGCTTCAGCCAAACGAATAAGAGACACAGATCGAGCACGGTTTCTGACGGCTGGGCATGAGCTGCACACGGAATGGAAACTTCTGTTGATCCCATTGGCCCATTCTCGACGAAAGAAAGGATGCAGATGAAGAGAAGCGTTTGACTTCAGAATTAAGGCTTCCGAGGTTGACTGCTGATAAATGCTGCTGTAAATTCAACTGGTCCTTGCCCGACATGTGTTGTCTGTCAGGGTCTTGGCCTGCTCGGCGTTGTTGATGATGACACCATTTCTGTCATCGCCCCGGCTTGTACGAGCAGGTAACAGGTTCCCTGCAGTTTCCCTAGCATGGTGCATCTGCATCCTTGGCATGTGAACATTCCGTGTCGCGCGCACAAGCAGTTCTCAGCGATGTCGGTTTTTACATTGAGGAAACTCGCAAAGGAGGATGCGACCAGTCTGTATCGAATCTCGCACCTTATGCCGTCGATTCGAAGCGAGCCGCAGGCAACCCTTTGCAACCCAAATCAAGCGCAGCAGCCAGGGTAATCCTTGCTCACAAGCGGTACCGGCACCCCAGACAAATGTTGAGGAATGCACAAAGCTGGGGCGGGGCTCGTCTCTCCATTCTCCCCATCAACACAATCCCGAGTGAGCGTAGACTCTGACCTGCATGGGACTATGGCATGAGGTGTTGTCTGCACACTTGACGGACACAGAAGTCATCGTCGTTGAGGCAGCAGCTGAGGCACGCGGTCAGATAAAGTGCATGAATGTCTTGACTGGTGCTGTAGTCGCAGGGTGAAAGCGCATGCGCCATGCCTCGAGTTATTTGATTGCGCTCGTGCACATTGTCTTCCACCCTGTGTTTAGTAGACCTTCTCGTCAGCAGAAGGAGACACCGGACCTTCACAGTGCTCTTACCTCCGCTTGTACTGACTCTCGGACGCCCGCGTAGAGTTCTTAGAAAGAGTCTGGTGCTGACGACACATGCTATGTCCAGGCATTGTGCAATCTGCAGATGATGAATGCCATAGACCTGAAGGCCAGGGCGGGTGCTTGGGTTTTTTGTCGGTCTCATAGTTGCAAGGCTCCATCTGGAATAGAGTCCTGGAGTCCTGCATCTGCACTGTGAAGAGACGCAGTCTGCTTGTGGGTGGCGTGTGCATCCGCCCGTTTTGGCATGACCCGCGATGAACCCGCCAAGTCAAAAGGCTCGGATGTAAGTGCACCTCAATTCTACAGCTAAGACGGCGCTTGGCCATGCCAGGTAGTGGAAGATCAAGCCAGAGAGACCAGCAAGCGGTTGCACCATGCGGACTGGCTCACCAGGCTGCCAGAGTCCGCTAGATTCAGCTGTGCCAGAAATGTGTAGTCCAACGTGCGGCATTTCACCGGAAAGATACTTGTTGCGGGGCTGGTAGTTGGATTAGCCTGCTAAAGGCCGGGGTAGATCTTATGGTCCGAGACTACGTAGCCCAGCTAGACTTGCATTCCTGCAGGTGGGCGGCCTGCATTTGCTTGGGTGCACTGGGTGCTGCGGCGCAACCTTACCTCCAGGAGGGCAGAGTCAAGCAAGTTGATTTTCCGGCTTCTCCAACATAGCTGCCAGGAATTGAAAGAGCGAGTTACTGACGAAGACGAGAACAGGGTTGTTCACGACGCTGCCAAGATGAGCCTCGCCAGGCCTGCACCGAAAGTAAGTTCCTCTTTGTGTCTGCAACAAGTGAATCCGAGGCTGCATGCGTTGCAGCGCAGCGAGCGCAGCCTTGACAGGGTTCAGCTGGCTCTTTCTGGGGATGGGTCGGTCAGGCACGATGGGTCGGTCAAGCACGGGTAGCCACAAGGGCTGGTGTTGCTCCAGTGAAAAGCTGTATCTACTATCGTTTTAGAGGTCAAAGTTTGCCTCCCGCAAGCTCGTGACACCCCGAGACAAGAGTTAGAGATGCGGTGTCCCGAGCATGCAAGATCATCGACATGATGTGCATGCCTCCCACCTAGCCCGTCTTTCAAAGGCTGTCGTCAGCTTTCGCTGCTCAGCACAATGCTCTGCAGCATAGCATGACTGTGATGATTACGTGAACTCTCACTCCCTTGATCCATCGTCAATGCGATGGGTCGCTGCAGGCTATTGTGGGCAGCACGTAAGCATGAGCGCGCAAAATGTGCCTTGCTCCCAACGGGCTTAGCGCCCGGTTTACATGTAGGCAGAGGCAACTGGCTGGCATGCCTTCTCTCCACTTCTATTGTTCATTTCTGTATTTATCCGTTGCACCCGTGCTGCAGGAGCTGGGAGGCGTCATCGGCTTGGTGGGCTGCATCCCTATGGCTGTGCACAGGCTCCTCGACGAAGGGCATGACATACATGGCTTTGTGGCGCTGAGGACACCTTCTCAGCTCGACCCCGCTGGACCAAAAGAAGCGCAACATGCCCTTGCACCTCTTCCATGAGGCCGAAGTCTCGGGAAGATTGTGGACCCGCATGTGTTTGCATTCATTCGACCGTGAAGACTGCCAGGAGGCAGACAAGGAGATGAGATGGAAGTGGGCCCGAGTCTCAGAAGTCACAATCAGAGCGCAACGCCGATGCCGGCGACGCGTGTGCTTTTACCACTGTTTATCGAAGCATACGTACGCGTTGCCAGAGGAAGCGTTAAGCAGGTGAAATCTTCTGTGCAGCGCCTCATTGATGCCGGCTTCAACGTCAGAGACTCGCGAGACCTTCTGCAATCATTCTCCTAATTCTGGGCCGCTTACTTCATCAGGTGTCCTCAAAGCGGGAACGTGATCCTGCAGGGTGTGGCCATTGGATTCAGGCCTGCAGAGCTGTTCGCTTTCTAAACACGCAAGTGGCACGAGTTGACTTGCTGCCCGAACTGGAAAGGGACGGTATTGGCGTGAACACCAAGTCTGCCATTGATACTACACATGGGATCCTACAGACTTCCAGCCTGTCAGGAGATTGAAGGCACGTGGATCAGAAGCGCTATGAGGCCACGGCGCATGAGAGGAGACTGGCATTTCAGTGATTAGCGATTAGCCAGGTGGCCATCCTGAACACTGCTGCAGGCACATCATCTTAAGAGAGGCGCCCTAGCAGGAAGAGCTGGTCGACAGCGCACTTGTGCTCGGTGCTCAGAGAACAAGAGCCTGTGATTTCCGGCGAAGCTAACTTCAAGAGCAGACAAGGAATGAAGCCGCTCTGAGCTGCAGACGCTTCGCATTGAAGGCCAAGGGGATCGGCCTCTCACTTCCAGCAACTCCTGCAACTAGTTTCTCTCGAAGCAATGGGAACAGCAACTACTTTTGCCTCGGACTTGTTTGGGTGTCTTCGAATGCTTCCGGTACACTGCGATTCTGAGCAGTTCATTGCTTCTTGTCGCAAGTTGATTTGCTCGCATCGGATACTACGGTTGCAGTAGTCGAATCTCTACCAGACCTGGAATGGTGAAGAAGCCTCCAGAAGTCTTATTGAGAGATCTCATCATTTCCGGCATCCCAAAATCAAAAATCATATACTCGAATATGAGAAGAACTAAAACCTTTTCTTACATTTATAAAAGACTATAATTTATGAGAAGAGTAATTCTGGTATTTTTTTATATAAACATCAATAAAATGGCATCATATAAATTTTAGTGTAACAACTTGTTGTGATGTAACAATGCTTGAGCAGAAGTGGCGGTTGAGGTTATCCTCGTGCCATTTTGGTGCAAGACTCGAGGGATAGACTCCTCGGCAGTCTTCTTTTGAGAGCAATGGCCAGTCCGTGTTTGGCTGACTGCCGGTGAGAAGCGGGGGCTTAGAGCCCGACTTTCAACACGGCTCAGTGCCTCCTTCGCGCCGTGTCTGCCACTTGGTTAGTGCTGTCGTTTGCGGCGCTTCAGTCTGCAGATACTGATCGGTCAGACAGAGACTTGGGCTATTTTGTCAATCTCCAAGATGGCACTTTCTGTACTTCCTTCGCAGACAGAGCTCGCAAGTCTGGACAGCGTGGAGAAAGTTCGTCTTTGGGTGGGTGTCGACTCTGCTGTTTGGACGCGGCTCAGCAACGCGATGGGGACCTTTCCGAATGTCAGAACTCTAGCTTCTCTCCCTTTGAGCTCGTTGCGTGCTGGCATGCCTGCCGTGCGAATTGCTACCACGGGAAATCCTCCACAGAGAGAGCTCACCCCCGTGGAAATCATTCATGTTGCGCTGATGTGGAGAGTGGCACGGCAGGCCTTTGGCATTCAAGATGTCGACCCTTTGGCTCCTCCATCTGCTGGGGACGGGGCGGCAGCGACTCCGGCTGTTTTGGCAAGTCCGGGACGAATGAAAGTCAAAGCGAATGCTGTGATAGATCAGATGGACGAATCAGAAATCGACATTTTGAATCAGAGCGAGCTGGACGAAGCCTATCAGAATCATGTTGCTCTCACGGGCTGGGATCCACCTGCAGAGGCGGAGCCGACGCCAGAACAGATTGCAGCGCTCAAGACAAAGGTTGTGATCAGAGGCGAGGCGCCTTATGCAGACTTTTCTGTGTTGACGCCTTACGGACGCAGGATGCAGAAGCAGATGAAGGCTCGCTCATGGATTTTGCAGGCCGATGGAACGTTCAAGGCCTTGGATGTCCCAGGGCCTCCAACATTCGATGCGTGGAAAGCATGCTTCAGGGTATACAAAGCAGCCCTGTTCATGTTGAAACATCCAGGCAAGCCTGCTTCGACAACTTCGCCTGCTGTGTCACCAAAGCTTGTTGTGACGCCAGCTGCGCTCGAAGAGTACTTCGAGCTGGTGAGCAAGCTCAACGACGAGTTTCCAGAGACTTGGCACTTGTTACTGCAGGCGGAGGACCGATGCAGGGCAGAAATGTTCGAGCGTTTCCGCAGAGAGCTGACCAGAGCAGCTGCAGAAGGGAAGATGCCAATGGGACTTACCTTCAATGGGGAGGCTCCTTGGAGTGGTGTCTTTCAGTATGCGGCACGAAACGAGAGATTCTGGAACGAAGCATGTCCATGGAAAGGGCTCAAGCGTCTACAGTGTCAGAGCAAGCACAGCAGGCGCTCGAAAAATCTCGAAAACGTGAGCGCTGCTTTGGCAAAGACGCCCGGAGTGCCTTCACCTCCAGGGCAAGGGACCTCGAAGTTTGCAGAGAAAAGAAGGCGGAAGCGTCAAGAGGCAGAGCGGGCGCAAGAGGAGCAGGCAAAGAAGCAAAGGGTGCAGCCGAACGCAAGCAAGCTGCATCCAAAGAAATCGGGAGACATGTACATCACGACGGCCGAGGGCATCGAGATCTGTTTTCTGTTTTCGAGGGGGCGATTGGGAGCATGCCCAGAGCCATGCAAGAACTGCAGGGCCCATGTATGTCAGTTTTGCCTCGGTGCGCACGCAAATTTCCAGTGCACCCAGGCACCGTCCAAGACTACTGGGAAGGGTGGAGGAAAAGTCTCTGCAAAGTGACCCTCGCCTGCGCCGTTCGCGCGTCGAGACTCTGGAGAAGCTGGGCGAGCTGTGGAGCCTTCAAAGGGCGGCAGCAGCACGTGCAGCGTGCGTGCAGAAGCAACGGAGCATTGCGAGAAGAGAATGAAGCTTGGAACCAAACAGTTTGTCTTTCTAGAAATGTTTTCAAGCATGTCGGGCCTCTCAGCCGTGATTGCCGAAATCGCGGGTCCGCACAACGTCCAGGTGATGGAGCCGCTGGACCAGCACGGCGATTGGAATATCCTCGAAGAGCTGGGTATGGAGAAAGCTTTAGCTGTCGCCGATGTTGCAGATCATGTTCACATAGCCTTGCCCTGCCATTCATTTTCTACCACGCCTGGCAGCGACCAAATCTCCGAAGAAGGCAACAAGATTCTGGAGTGCGTGTTCGCGGTGTGCCTCAGACTGCTCGAAAGACGGGCAACGTTCGCTGTGGAAAACCCTGCGGATTCTTACGCATGGGAAACCAGGTGGTTGAAGAAGCTGGCAAAGAAAGAGGGCATGAAATGGGTGATGTTGGACCAATGTTGCTATGGCGCGCAGGCTGTGAGGGCAACCTGCGTGCTCACCAACGCAGACTGGATGGCTCAAGTGAATCTTCGCTGTTCAGATGTGCGCCCTCATCGGCACGTACAAGAAGGCTTGAAAATATCTCGAGTTGCAGAATACCCACAGGGCCTGTGTGTGTCGTGGGCCGAGAGCTTGAAGGCGTGGGCCTCATCTTCGGCTTGCAGAATACAGGTTGGCTCAAATTTTGTGAGATGTGGGCGACATTCCAATGTCTTAGTGCGAGAAGATCTTGTAGTAGGCGCAAAGTCTGCGACCGACACTGCAGAGATCAACACAAAGCAGCTGTCAAAGTCAGAGCTCAGAGAACAGCAGAATGCCGAGTGCGTGGGTGGCTTGCGTGACCCGCGGCGTGCTGCGGCACGAAGTCTTGCTTTACAGCGCACGGGCTTAGCTGTGCGAGAAGTGATTGACAAGTTTCTTTCGCCTCGAATTTTGGATTCCTTTGAAAGGGCTCCGAACACTTGTCCATTTGATGACGAGTTGGTGATTGCGTGCAGAAGAGAGCTGGCTGATCGATTTTCGGCGTCAGGACTGGGACGGGTCGGCAACAAATTATCGTTCATTTGAAGAGGTCCCTGAGAAAAGTCAAGCCGAACTTGACCGAATGGTCGCAGAAGGCCGGGCAGTCACTGGTGACACTTGGGACGAAGTGGTGCAGCTGTTAGGCCCCGATGCGAAGTTCACACGGCTTGCCTGCATCGTCAAACAGAAAGAAGATGGGTCAGAGAAGGTACGACTCATCGTCGACATGCGCCGCTCCGGGATAAATGGCTTGATATTCTTGACCGAACGAGTGGTTCTCGGATTGCCGATGTTGCCGACAGTGTCGAGGCACTGGTAAAAGGCGCCAGGCAAGGGGATTCTCTCGAAGCCATGATTTCAGATTTTAGAGATGCCTTTTACACCATGCCGCTTCATCCTCAAGAAGAGCCGTTTGCTGTAGTGAAAGGGCAGCACTGCTACTATCTGTTCAAAACCGTCGTGTTTGGCTTAGCTTGTGGTCCGTTGCTGTGGGCTAGGCTTGCAGCATGGGCCATGCGACTGGGCCAAGCTGTGGCGTGTAGCAGAGAAGCTAGAGTACAGTGCTTTGTTGACGATCCACTTGTGCTGGCATGTGGAAGCTCTGCTAGACAACGCACACGTGCTTTCTTGAGGTACCTTCTCACGTGGACGTGTCTAGGTTTTACTGTTGCTTGGAACAAGGTTTCCAGAGGAATCCAAGTTGATTGGATTGGGGTAACTTTGAAACTCCCGCTTGATCGTGCAGGGGTGTTTGAAGTCAGTTTGTCCCCTGCCAAAACCCTCAAGCTGATGCAGCTCCTGCAAGAAATTTTGCAAGCAAAGGGCATGATTGCCATTGCAGAATTAGAGCATGCGGCTGGTCTCTTGGGATGGGTCTCTAGCATCATCCCTGTTGCAAGGCCCTGGTTGGCAGCCATCTGGGCAGCCATCCACCAGTCCAAGCACTCCGAGCCGGTCAGGTCGGACACGAGAGTGCGCAAAGGGCTGGTGTTTGTGAAGCAGTTCCGGCACACTTTAGTGTGGCTAGAAGCTCTGTTGAAAGCCACAGTTTTGCACAGCGGCCAAACAGTTTCGCTGCGCAAGGTGTATCATTTCAGAAACAATGCTCCTGCCCTTACGATTTTCTGCGATGCCTGTCCTCAAGGCATGGGGGGAGTACTGTGCCGCTACGGGCAGCCCATTGCTTATTGGGCAGACGAATTGTCTCAAAATGATTGTGAGCGTTTTGGTGCCACCAAGAGTGACCCAAGCTTCCAAGCAGAATGGGAGCTTCTTGCGCTTTTAGTTTCACTCAAAGTATTTCATGAGTTTTTTCTTGGCATTCTTCTGGTTGGCTCTTAGGACTTTAACTTTTTGGTTTCTATATGAAATACAATAAGTAGGCTAAAAGTTTAACTTTTAGGAGGGGTTCAGAAGTCAGCCAAGTTTTGGTGATGATCAGGTCCAGTGGTTTGTTCGCAGTGACAACCAAGCGGCCCTGAAAGCAGCACTGGAACTCAAAACGAGATCCCCGTTAATGACACAGCTAGCTGCTGAGTTGGCGATTCTTGTGGAAGCTCAGGGTGGGAGATGTTTCCAGGGAAGGCATGTGGCAGGGGTGTTCAATCGTTGGGCTGACTCTTTGAGCCGTGGCAGTGTGCCGATGGCTTTGAAGGGTTGTACCCGTCTCCATGTGCCTGAGCGAAATGACTCCTTCTACTGGGTATGGAAGCATCATGTCACTCAGCAGTTTTAGTCAGTGACCGAAGGGTTGCTCGGTGCATGTGTGCGCAAATATCTCTGGTTTTGTCTCCCTCTTTTGGTTTAGGCTGGTTAGGCCCAAGCTTGCTTCTGCATGGCCACCGGGTGCGAACATGCTCGTCTGCGAACACGTTCATGTGGACGAAGGCGAAGCACCAGCTGGTGGCCAGAAGAAGGGCTCCCTCACCTCCCAAAGGGCAGATCATTGGAATTGCAAGTGCTGTCCCCTGTCAGGAGACTGATGTGATCAAGATCCTTGCCTTCTCGGAGTCGGATCGTGAAGCTAGCAGCTCCAAGCTTTCAACACTGTTCCCCGATTTGGTCGGAGAGTGCCAACATGGAGACCCGGCTTCTTCAGGGTCAGTGCCAGGCCCTCGCCGTTTGGTGGTGCTACCTGAGAGCGAGGAAACGTGCGTCGTGAAGGAGGTCTCGCCTGTGAAGCGGCGACGGAAGGATGGGCCTGCTATCCCGGTGAATAGGCACGCGAGGGGCTGCTTAGGACGCGCACTTCAGATTGCGAACGATGAGGTTCTATTTGGTCAAGCTTTGGCAAATTTGGAGGAAACCATGTATGCGCCGTGCACGGTCAGTACAAAGGCCTCTTTGTTTGCTACATGGACGTCGCTTTGCGAAGCTCGCAGGATGAAAGGATTGCCTGTCACTCGTGAGAACTTGTGTGCCGTTTCCGATGAGGGCTGCTGGTTATAGAGCTGACGTGTCGTATATCATGGAGGCAAGGCAGCGCCACATCAGAGCTGGTTCGGTGTGGACCGGTTCTCTGGACTGCGTGTACAAAGACTGCAAAAGGTCGCTTACTCGTGCACTGGGGCCAGCTGCCAAGGCGGAAGAAGTAAAACTGATTTGGCTCCAAACTGCGATGGACGAGGATGTGTCTCTGCAAGGTCTCAACGGCATTCTGTCTGGCACGGAAGGCCCTCGGGGGGGCCTGTGGATTTGGGCGCTGGGCATTTTGTTTGTCCTGCGTGAAGTGGAGCTGGGATGCCTTACGTTGGGTTGCGTGAAGCTGGATGCCAATGCCAAGAAGGTCACACTGTCTTTGCCGGTTTCCAAGAAGGATCCTGGAGGCCGAGGTGCTCGGCCCTCTAGAGATTGCCGCTGTGGGGCGCTTCGCTCTGTCTCACGCCTGTGGTGCGTAGCGGTCACGTTGTTTGACGAACAGGTGCTGCGCCTGGGTGGTTTTGAGGAGGAGGCCCCTTTGTTTGGCACGGTTTGCTCTGCCCGGAGCTTCGTGGCCAAAAACAAGATGATTGAAGAGGCACAGGCCATGGCGTCTCTGATCAAAGAGCGAGTATCAGATGCGGAAAATCTGAGAATTGAGGCCGTCGCTGGACATTTCATGCGCAGATCGGGAGTGAAGATGCTTGCGAGGTCTGGAGCGGCCCTTGATTTGATTCAGTGGTGGTCCAGACACTCCAGTGCAGCGATCTTGGGATACGTAGAAGAGGCCATGGAAGAGTGCCCTGAAGGCAAAGACAAGCTGCAGAACTACTTGTCTTTCCAAGAGCAGCTGGCTGCGATGTCGACTGAGACGCGAACGCTCAAGGACATGGCTCTTCAAATTTCTATGAGAGTAGATAATCTTGAAAAGGGTTCGTTGTGTGATTTTGACGTCGCTGAGCTACAGAGTGATCTTGAGTCTTGGCTGACGCCGGAGTTTATTGTAAGTGTCCGGTCTAAGAAAATCCATTCTACGCGAGGCTGTAATTTCAGAAAGCCTCCTCTTGAATGGACGACTGTGTGTGGCTGGCCGTTCAATGGCAGTGGACGCATGGCCAAGCCGATGAGCCGTGAAAGGTTCGAGACCTCGAAGCATGAGCGATGTGCGAGGTGCTTCCCGTGAGCAAGTGGCGGAAGTAGATAGGGCTATCGGAGCGCTTGGAAAGTGTTCCCAGTGGGGCATTGAGCAAGCATTGAGCAAGCTTCGGATGGTCCTGGGAGAATGCAAGCCGAGTCCCCGTGACAAGGCGATGCAGCCTCCGATGGACATCCGAACAGGTCCAGCTATCGTGTGGCCCTTAGTGTTTTGCAGCGCACTTCCGCCAACTTGGGAGAATAAAAGAGAGTCTGTGTCCCTTTGGGAGGTTGGGTGGGGGTCTGTTCTGCGCGTAACATTATTTTTACGATTC